GTAGAAGTACCACTGGCAAAGGTGCTAGGCCCCTTAGGCGACCCCCCAAAAAGCCCACGACCCTGGACCCAAGCAAAGACCCCAACTTAGACCAAAGGCGATCTCCCGCCTCGGGTTAAAGTTCCTTTAAAGGGAAGCCTGCGGGACCCCAAGCTTGCGCCCCTGAACAGAAGTTTAGCCCCCAAGCCAGGCGTCCCCCTTAAGAGTAGACCGGTCTCCCGCCTCGAGTGGTGCTGCAGAAGTACCACGGGCTGAGTGCTGCGCAAGCACCTTTTAAACTCGGACGTCCGTTGAATTTACGAGCTTCAGCCCAGGGGCCTACAGGCTTTGCTAAATAGAGGAAGATTTCATTTCCAGGATGCCATCATTGACAAAACCGTCGGGGTTCAGATTTTATTTAGGACTGGGAGGCCCCTAATTAATACGGGCCCTTAGGGGGGGTTCTAGGGTCCCTTCAAGGTACATAGGGTATATAATAGGTATAAGGGTCCCAAAGTTAAGGGCCCATGGTTTGATAATTTGTAGGGGCAGCCAACCCTTAATTAGGTAACAGATCCGTGCCTGGCGTAAATTATGTATTCACAGGAACAGTATTTCAATTTCATTCTGGTATTGGGATGCTTCTTGTCGGGGACACTAAGGTACTTTTGCAGCACCTAGCTTAGGTACTTCAGCAGGTGCTTAGGGTTGGCCAGACCCCAAACCTAAACCTCTAAATGCCTGAAACCCCTAAATCCTCAATCCAGCTGCGAATGCCATGCTTTTTGAAAATGAGCTTCCGCAGGACATGTTTAGCAACCCCGCTGAACCTAACCCTAAACCGGTTTGCCTGACCTGATGCCCTTGCCCAGGCTGGACTCCTTCCAGGCCTCATCTGCTGCCAGGGCCAGCGTCCAAGCTGGCTAAGCCTTGTCAGTGAACAGGACAGACTTGGATACTGCTTTCATAGGCACGTCGTGTGACACGTCTATTTCTTTAGGCTTCAGTCTGGGCTCTCAAGCAGTTTCAACGCAAGGCCTTTTGGAGTGCTGGAGCCCAAAGCCACACATAATAGGAGACAGGATTTCGCAGACTCACAGCAAAAACAGCAGCTCTGGGAATGGCGACTTTTCAACACAGCAGCAGCAGTTTAGCGTCAGCACCAGCATCAGTAGCAGCATCAGCAGCAGCAGCAGCAGCAGCAGCAACGTAGAGCAGTAGCAGCAGCAACGTAGGGGAAACCATGGCGGCGAGGGGGTCCGAGCAGCCAAAGACCCCTCCAAAGGCTCCCACGGTGGTGCCGCCGAAGTTTGGGGCGACGGTCGTGCCACCTCGGATGGCAATGGGATCAATGGGGCCACCCAAGGCCATCCCGCCACGGAGGCCCGCGACGACGGCGGCAGAGGTGCTGCAAGAGGTCAACGAGAAGCAGGAGACGCCAGGAAAAGAACCTCAACCCCGTCAACCAGGAGGAAGGGGCGCCAGGCCAAACCGCCCGAGCCAAAAGAATCGGGAGACGGGCCGCTCCTTTGAAAGGCTCGCGGACAGGCTCCTGACCGCCAACGAAAAGCTGCTGACAGAGACGGCAGCGCTCCAGTGGCAGGAGGCACAGAACTTCGAGTTGCGAAGTCAGATGCAGGAGCAGGAGGCGAACTTTGCTCAGCAGCTGCAGTTGCTGACGCAGCAGAAGGAGCAGCTGGAGACGGCGAACTTGCAGGCGAATGCTGCTCACCAGCAGCTGCTGGCCAGCTTGCCAGAGTTGAGCCAAAGTGGCCAGTACAAGCAGCTCTACCTGAACGCCGAGGCATGTCGTGCCGAGCTTCAAGGCAGGTTGGAGAAGGTCACGGGGGACAACCTCAAGCAGATGCAGGTTATGCTGGATGAGAAGCAGAAAGCGGCAGAGGAGCGACGTGCTCAGCTCATCAAGGAGCATGTGCGGCAGCTGCAGGGCAAGGAAGCCGAGCTGAAGGCTCAGAGGCAAGAGCTTACGGCTTTGACGGAGGAGGTCCTCCAGAAGGACGCGGAGATCACGGCATTGAAGAAGCAGCAGCAGGCACAGAGAAAGAGAGAGAGAGAGA